CACGAGTTTCCTTTTTTCTTAGAATGATGGAGTGATGCAATATCTCCGTGAAATTGGACCAGACATCATGATGCCCGGTTTCTCCATCAACATAAAAGGCAACACTGATGTCAACTTAGTGAACGACATAGTTCAAGCTGTCTTCAAAGACCTGTGCATGTCTGATGACCGAGTCAGCGCTTTTAGATTCCCAATGGTAGTTACAGCATCTACGAAAAAGCACACAAAACACAGTTCAGCATTGAAAGAGTTCAAGAAGAGACTTGGGGTATGTGGTTTTGCTCGTTTCATGACTATAGTGAGAAGATTTACACTGAAATCTATGTCGAAATTCTGAACTTTACTGAACAACTTTCAAGATTCCTTTATCAAGACGGCGAACATTTAACAGACACTGCAATTTGCGGAAGCTCATTCATTTTCAAAGTTCGTTCGAAAAGCAGTTTGGTAATTTGGATGTTTTGAGAAAGGGGAGGGAAAACACCAAATGACGGGTAGTGTTCTACCGTCGGAGTTCGAATATCCTGAAGTGGGCAAGCACAGTTTATACATACATTTGTAATTATCTCTACTACTAGATGGAAGTCGTTTTATAATAGGTATATTTTCTCTAGATTGATAGTTATGACACAACCGGTGTCAAGTTCATCATGACAACATGYATGAATGCCTACGGCACCACCATGGATTTCGCTGGAGAACTGGCAGSCAGTTTTAGGAATGTTATTCTGTATTCTATTGGAACAGTAAGTTCAATCGTTGTCGTTCTGTCTTTGGCCATCATCACCATATTTCATCTTTGCCTGTTTGTGTGTTTTTGTTAAGGTGACTGATCCAAGCGCTCATCATGACTTTGTGACAACCGGTGCCTTGGACAAGAATAAACAAATGGTCATGTATTATGCAGGACGATTCCCTAACGTCTCTCATCAATACCACGCTATAGCCAAGTGCCAGTTCATCAACGAAACKGATGGAGATGTTGCAGTAGAGGGAGCAGCACAGCGAGGAGGACCATTAGTGCTTCGTGGAGTGGAACCTAATCGTGTTCATGATATGCTGTTGTATGATTTTGATGAGGGAGATTCAGGTCGACATRAGCCTAAAGTTGTGGTTTGTACTTACTTGCTGGTTGAATTGGAAATTGAATACAAGGCCTCGCTGTAATCTCCTTATGTCTCCACAGGTTTACTGTTTCTCCGGTATCCCCAATGCAGAAAGCAAATCATTTATGAAAACCAACATAAGASTTGTGGATGTGGCAAGGTTTGACCACTTTGATCTTAACATTACCGGCTACCCTGAAAATAGCAGGTACTTCCTCTATGGAAACAACGAGAAGGCCTATATTTCCCACATTCCTGTCAAGAAACCAGATTTTCTTCAGGTTTGTAATACCGTTTACCACAATATACGTTTTACACAATGCCACAATAACGCAAATTTTACAAGTAGAATGTATTGTCAAATAAAAACTGTCCATTTATTCACAACGAAATCGATTCAATGCTTTGACGCATCCGCGAAAYCTAATGCGTCTCAACAGCCGATTTGCATTATGGCGTCATTTACTACAACTACCAGAATGCTTTGACTACTTTCTTTTGTAATGCAATTAGTGCCAATTATTTAATAATTTCAAAAGGATTAAAAATCTGAATAACAATGAAAATGCGCAAGTCTCTCTTGTAGTTGTAGTAAAGTTTCGCAATAAAGCAAATGGCCTATTAACCAAAAAATAAACTGCTCTCGCACATCGCTCAGAATATCAATCCCTGGTCGCGTGTATAAGAAGATGATAATAAGTGTTGTCTGTGTATACATGTAATAGCATTCAACATCAAAGCGTTTCATTGATCTTTTTTTTCATTAATAGATTGCGGAGCTAGAGGCCATCCCAGCTGGTGTTTCAAAGCTGTTGGTTAATTTCGGAGTAGAGATCGAGATGCCTTTCAGTGGAAATCCAGTTGGTACYGATGGCCAGATTGAAGATCCCTTAACTGATGATAGTTATTTAGTGTCATTTACTGGGGAAGGTGGCAAGGAGCAAACTGCTACCATCAAAATTGGCCAAAAGATTTTATTCGAACAGAATTTGATCAATGGAAGGTAGACAGGTAAATACTTGTCACTAAATGTCACTTTTTAAAGCGTCTTATTCAAAAWGTTCCAATTTGACATTGATTACATATATATTTGCTTGCAGGCATGGCACTCTGATGTCTTGGAAATTGTCCAGCTAGAAAGTCACTTGTTATCAATTTAGACTAGCAATTTGAATCATATTATGGCGTAACTTTTATCATAATTCGTCTAAAATTTTCACACATATTTGTAATACCACTAATAACAAGGTTCAGAAATATTTTAGAGAAAATAGGGCTGGTTTGCGAAATATTCAAGTTTAAGTGTTTTCCAGGATTTCCCCATAAGTTGAATAAATTATACTCGATTTTTATGAAATCTATATATAACATATTTTGGTCTTTTATCCTTCATTTGACAAAATATTGACCGGATCAAAGCAAAATAAACTGCATTTCGATGCGTTTCTTTCGYAATGGTCGGTACTAAAAACAACTGTCCCCAGATACCTTAAAAGCGTAGAATCAAATCGTTCACTCTGATAGTCTTTCGCGTGAAACATAGTAAGAATRATATTGTAGTAATTTAAAGGTCAAGTATACTACAGTATCAAAATCAGACAGCTCGKCGCCGTGTGGCGAGCGATCTTCGCCCCGCTCTATAACCATGCATGATCGCTTCAATGATCTTCATCTAGGAATACTCATCTGTGAAGAGCATTGTTTTCTTTGACCAGAAGAGACAGAATCCCTCATCAAATTAGAAAATATAGGCTATGCAACTATATATCTCACCAAGGAAAATAAACTATTCTTTACATCTAAACGAGACCCTCCTTAGAGCGTCAACTCGGTCGAATTATTTTTGAAAATTGAGAAATACAGTATATTACATGGTTGGTCAAACACAAGAAATGTTTTAAATGAGCTCATTTTTAAAAAGTACTGAATAAGACAGCACTTTTCAACACCTTTAGGGCACGAGTACACCCTGCTGTCAGGGTCTAGTTTTGAATAAGTACGGAGCACTTTTCAACACCTTTAGGGCACGAGTACACCCTGCCTGTCAGGGTCTAGTTTATACTAAAAGTGGAGCTGAAGCAAGACGGTATTGAATACTTCATTTGTATCAATTCAATTTAATTTGCGTACCGCATGCACGAAGTACTAGATACAACTAAATGGCTCTATTTGGTTTGTACAGTTGCATGGTTTAAGTGCGATCACTCTATATCTATATTTCATTCATTTTTTTTTTGGTCCTACTAGTATGGTAATACTAAAACAATTCGGCCTCACGAGCTATCAGCTTGTATTCCATCCGTTAAATATCATTTTTCATTGGTCCACGGAAAACTCTAGCTGTAGGACCTCAAGTGCAATCTCTTTTAAACAAAGGTGGTGCTATATGTCCTGACACGACGTCTGCTAMTCAAGCATTTGTTGCATACCATACATACTAAGCTCACATTGGCATTAATGACCCCTAGATAGTAAGACTAAATATGCCGTTTGCAAAGGGTTAATGCATTTTGAATGCAAAACCACTCTCGACGACCACTGTTTGCGCAGAACAAAAATCGCGACCTCATGTATCCAGAACGAACGGAGGAAGCAAGGGATAATGCTACAAAGGAAAAGGGTACTAGAAAGAAATACGAAASAAAGCATTAAAGAATGATATATCCACAGTTGCTATCGAAAACCTATTAATCGGCTAGGTTTCTCTTMTTTGCAAAGTTGTGTTAACGATACAAATATTTCTATTTCTAAGTGTTCTTGAGGTATGCGCGCAGAATCACTAGAATGTTTTCATAGCAAAGCGAGYTGTTGGTGGACGTCAATCAGTGTCTATCTATAAGTAAGTTAAAGCAAGTATCGTTAAGTTGAAAAAGTAATGGTAGATTTTGTAAAAAGCTCGGAAAAATTTCGTGCACATGGACATTTCCAAAACCTTTTTGTTGCTGRAACATTTAAGTGATTCTACGCGTCAATTCAACTGTAAAGTACAATTTCTTGAACCACGCCCTAGGGTACAAACTATTTACGTGCATATTGTTTGACTGTCATTCAGCCAAGCGAAATAGAATAGTCGTGATTAATACCGCAAGAATACATTAGATTGGTTTTCATAAACCCGTGAAACAAAGTGTAATAATTAGAGCGTAATAGATCGTAATAGTCGCGTAGAGACAATAAAAAACAAAAGAGCCAAAGTGTAATAGCGATAAATACGCTAAAGTGTGTTTCACGGGTTTAGGAAAACCACTCTACAAAAATAATATCATTTATAACTTTAATCCCTTGTAGCTCACTCATGGTAATACCATTAGATTATTTATTGGACGATTATGGAGTGCATTGTGTCTGCTGTATTTCGTAGCGAGCCAATCAAATGGAGTTACTTCRTAACGAGTCAATGAAAGGGTTACAAGTATTCCTTGCTTGGAAGTGGCATTCCAATCTTTGCGTTCGGTGCATTGAGTGCTCTTGTGCAGTCGTGAATAATTTTTGCCTTACTGCAATATATTTCACTTGCTTTGCGCCCTTCTTCAATCGAGCTCTTCCTTCGTATAAGGTAAGCTKTCTCTAGTTCATTTCCTACGCTATTATCAATTTCAAATCTGCTCAGAAAACAGACTTTCAAACATAAAAAAAGCTTGGAATTTTAATTTTGGCAGTCAAAACGCATTTGAGGTAAATTCATCTTTGTCGGACCTTCAGTCATGCCAAATATTTGTGAGAATGCGAATGAAAAACTCAAGAAAACGAGCAGTAAGGTATTTTAAGTAATATTTCAAAAAGGAATGCGAATGTTTCGTTAGGTCCTTAAGGTTCACAAACTCACGAGAAAACATTCATTGGAAGAACAGTTTAATCGTTAATTCATGACTGGCATTCCAGAGCAAAAGTTGCMKTAATTTTGTGCATCATTTGAACATATTTCAAAACCTCATCATGGTACAATTCGTGATACCTTGTGAGAAATAAACTTCAAAGATTTTCAAAGTTTTAAAAGATCAACTTATCTCGAATCTCACTGGTCGTTGTTGTCCTAGGAGAGCTTAATAGATCATCATATTCCAAATCTCACTGATGGTTGTTGCAGTCAAACAGGACATTAAATTTGTTCGGCGGCCCAACATAAGCTTATCAGATCTGTTAGTTCACGGGATTAAATCTAATGCTTGGTATACTTGCATCATTGTATATGCATGAATATGAGTGAGCTTGAAGAGAATTTTTAAAGTGTGTAGGAAATATAGTCTAGTAAAGCCGGTCAAAAACGATCTAACAATATCAAACATTGTTAAGGKAACCAACGCAACATTCTTTCGTTTATTTGGCCACCTTCTTTGATGGCAAGTTTGGATGGGTGATTTGGGGCTTGACGCGAACTTCAAACTTCCATCCAACTGTGCATCATTCAATATTTCTCGTTTAACTGGACCTTATCAAACCAATAACATAACTTTCTTTACATTTATAATTACAACTTTGAATTAAAAAATCAAAAATTAAAAAATTCTTTACAAATTTTAAATATTGAATCAGACAAGAAGAAATGTCAAAGCTAATACTGATATTTCCCTTTTATTTCAGTCTGTTTGGTTTCCAAGAGTAACTAACGTAAGGTAGAACTATGTATCAATTACCTATAAAACCGCCACAAGGCAAGCGTCCAATGTTCATGSAGCGAAGACCCAATTTTGATCGTGCTGATGACGAGACAAAACCCTGGGCCAAAACTGGTGCGTGGTTTTTAGGTCCAAAAGCTGACAATGCAGCAATTTTCAAGGATCTCGTCAATGACGCTATTGACAAGCATTTTCTATTCAGGCGAAGGTACAGTCACTAGTCATTGTAACAAAGGTCCCCGTTGTAAAAAGTGTGAATAGCGCTGTCCACCGAACTAAAATTCATACAAATGCAGCYGTCGCATTGAATATGAACTAAATTATAATACATATCAAATTACTAATTCATGGTAAAATATTCTGTTTCAGCTATTACCCATGTGACCCACATTTTGTTACAGACGAGATGCGTGAGGCTGAATCTTTTAAAGATGCCATCAACAAGACGAAGAATGAACTGCACAACATCCAAAAAGAACTCATCAAAGCTGTGCCATTCTTCACACCAAGATATAAGGTAGAAATGATTGATCCAGTCAGTATTAAATTTATTAAGAGGTCGATTTTATGGGGAAACTTGGGATAACTTGTTAAAATCTGTTTTTCAGGGTCACGTGACTTGGGATACCGTAATGGCTGCAAATCTTGGTTATCTAACAGGATTGCTGTTCAATCAAAATAACTGTGCTGCAGAAGCTTCTTCTGTTACTACAAAATACGAGTTGGAAGTAGGAGAAGATCTTTGCAAGATGGTAGGTTTTGATCCTGAGAAAGCCGGGGGACATCTTGTTACAGGCGGTACTCTAGCAAACATCGAGTCTATGTGGGCAGCTCGCAACRTCAAGTATTACCCACTGGGACTACAAGATGCCATCAGGAATGAAGACATGCTTGCTAAAGCAAAAGCCGATTTCACAGTTTACTTGCCACACAAAGATGACCATGTGAGAATTGTGGACGCCACGAATTGGGAGCTCCTSAACGTAGATGTTGACGATATCATTGAGATGCCAGAAAAGGTTAGTTTCTGCCTGCCATAAACCCAAACTTAGCATTATCATATAAATTACTTATAAGTTACTTTTCAGTTTATCGGAAAATATCTTGTCTTTTAAAAATATATTAAAAGATGACTGAAAAAAATATTTATTGATTAAGGTAGCAGCAATGTGCTCCATTTCAAATTCTGATCTGSTTGGAATCATGAATAACTACGCCTTGGAAAGCATTGGCATACCAGCATTTTTCCAGCGTCACAAAATGAAGAACAACCCGTGTTCTCTTGCCGCAACGACAGCACACGTCTCTCTTTTCAAAGGCGCAACAATCTTGGGAGTTGGTAAAGAACACTTGGTTCCAGTGCCTGTAGATGACAACGCMAGAATGGACGYCAAAGGTAAKGCCATCWTTGTGCTTCAGTAMYTYCACAACAGAATATTTAGATATCGGGTCTCAATTCCTTAGGTTTGCGAGATATTCTCGAGGAYAARWTGGCCAATCAKACTCCAGTAATCAGTGTGGTTGCTATAATGGGTACAACTGAAGAAAGTGCCGTTGATCCTCTTGTTGACATACTTGAGATTCGACAGGAAATGAGAGCAAGGGTAGGTGCAGTTGAAAAGAGTGATTGGG